GCCAGAAAGTGTTTTAAGACCCACACAACTGGCTCTCTTTGATTTCTCCTTTTCCTGTTCTTCGCAAACCCCAGGAGGCAGAAACGCCTGGGTCTTATTCAGACTAATGAGGGTGGAGTTCATGGGCTGCCTGGGTTTTTTGCTCTGAAAGCACTCTGCAGTGGGTTTTTCCCAGGGAAGCCCTCCCCTCCTCCTAGTCTGCAGGAAGCCTGGGCCAGCTAGACAGCAGAGCATCTGGGACCCAGTGGGAATCCCACAAAAGGGAGCCTGGGTGGGGAAACCAGAATAAATCAAACCACATGGAAGAGTGGGGGCTGGCTGTGGGAGTTGGTTAGTTGCCTCCTACGCGGATCAAGTTGAATGTCTTCATGTCTTTCCCATCATAGGCTCTACTCTATTTAATGTGGCGGCGTCTGGAGCAAAGGTAGCACATACCATATGTTTCTAAGCAATTAAATGTTCCATATAACTAATAAACTTATAAAACATGCTGTCATCCAGACTTGACACTTTATGATACTAAATAAAGCAGACATAAAAATCATGATTTTAATATGACAAAGTAGGTGAAAACTCCCAAGTTAATTAAATGCAATAGTTCTTAGATATTTCCGAGTTGCAGGATTTAAAATATGTATTTTATATTCTTCTATGCATGTACTCTGTTTTCTTTCTTAATTTTAGCATTTGTAATGGTTTTTAAAAGATTTATTCTATGACATGTATGTGTGTTTGCATATCTAAGTGTGAGTATATATGTATGTACATTTGTGCATGTGAGTGTGACTTTCGAGACCAGAAGAGTGTGTCAGATCCCCTGGAGCCGGAGTTAGGGGAGGTTGAGAGTCATTTGAGGTGGGCGCTGCAAACTGAACTTGGGTCTGTTGAAGGAACAGCAAGGTCTCTTAACCATTGAGGCATCTCCCTAGCTCCTATTATATTCTCATAATTCATATTTTAAAATTGTCTATGGGCAACTTAGCGTCACTGCAGCCCTTGGAAGACGTTAAAAAGAATTAGTTTCAGTTCCAGGAAACTCTGCTCTGATAAGGAAGCACTTCCTGTAGGAATTTAAGATGAGGCTCAGCCTCACAGGTCAGCCACACATGTGACACTGGACTGAAGTGACATGGTCATATGTAGCCATTGCTGCCACAGAAGCATGACAAAATATGTCTATTGCATTACATAACAAGCCCATGTAATTTTCAGTACTTCTTAAGATGTTTCTTGATTCATTCTTTCAAATGGCTATTTCTGGGTCAGACATTATAACGTATTCTGGGAGGCAGCTTTGGGCTCAATATTTTTCTCAATGCCTTTCAGTGGTACAAGGGTTGGCTTACAAGACGCTAAGGCAACAATGTATGCCAGCAAGCCCTGAAGGGGAATCTTAGTTGTGTAAAACATTTTTATTTCACTGTCTTTATCTGTTTATTATTTCATTTCCACATAGAATATCCCCGCATCCACACTTTTTCTGCAAACTTCATACTTGCTTTCACCTAGGAGAAGTTGTTTTCTAAAATGTATATATAAAAATTGTTTAAATCCCTTCAAAGTAAATTTGATACATTTAGATGCCCTTGGGTTTTGTGCTATCAACAGAAAGTGAAAGCTATACTAAATAACCAGCACCCAACATCTCACTTTCTCTCAAGACCACACTCTTCTCTGTAGGGCATTCCGCTTCACTTAATTCTTCCAGTGCATGTTCTGTCTTGTCTAAATTTGATCCCGTTAACATTTTGTCAGCAATAGCGTTTAGCATCCGGAAGTTGTTAGAGGGTGAGATCTGATGTTTCTCTAAATGTTCGATGTTTGAGCAGATCCACAACATACTAAATCTTTCTGTTTTTCACTCCTGACCCCCACCCCTCAAAAGACAGAGAGGCACAGTTATGACCATGTCTCTTAGTAAATTAGAGCTGTGTGCTGTCTGTGGGCAAAAGTGTTTTGGGGTTTGAGGTTTAAGTCAGTGCTGTGGTTGCAGGCTTACCCAGAGCGTCTTGTTAGCACGACCCAGGACGTGTTCACAGGTGAAAGTTGTTTCTTTCAAACTCTTTAAGGTCAAGGATGATTTGGAATTCTGATCCTCCTGACCCCTTCCTCCATTTTCCATGATGAGGATTACAGGTTTGGTTGAGTGTTGGGGTTCAACCTTGGGGGCTTCATGTGCACTAGGTGAGCATCCTACAACGGAGCTACAGCCCCATTGTATATATATCTGTTTGGAGTTGGTGATCCCCACTCCCCAGCTTTGTGATGGTCAGCAGGCTCACGTCCAGAGGGCAAAAGAGCTACAGAGAGCAGATTCTACAGCAAAAAGAAAAAGACCCTCCACTCCCACTTCCTTACTCCCACCCTACCAGGGAAGCAGCAGCTAGCCTGCAAAGGGAGTGGTGACAACTGACCAGACCAAGTCTTTCTTACCATCCCCCCCCCATTACCTCTGCAGAGACCTTTTAGTCACATTCAGCACCTCCCCTACAGGTTTGGCAGCTCTTTCTTGATTGGTTGATTTTTTCACCTTATTTGCATACTCACACTCAGCCATTGGGACACTCTGGAACCCCATGAATTCCTGCTTAGCTAAGGCTGCAAGAATTTTGAAAAGTTGTGTTCAGGGAGGGATTTGCATTACTGTTCAGTGTTGACTTTTCTCAGCTAAGCACACTTAACATTTGCTGGGTGCTTTTTAAGCATTGCCTAATTCCCGTCTTTCCCTCTTCATTTTCTTTGTGGATCTAAACGTTAAAAGTGGGTTATTGCAAACCTTTACAAATACCACAGTGTTATCTCTTCCTTCCTCAGATCCTTTAATATTTGTCTTCTATATTTATTGCTGCTAGGTTAGATGAATACATATTTACAATTGGCATATCCTCCTGACTTGCTAGCTCCTTCATTATTGTATGTCAATAGGCATCTCTTCGAATAGTGTGAAGTTATTTTGTCATACACAGCTACCCTGGTCTCCCTGGCTCCCATTTTTGAGCCATATTTCTCCACACTTTGTGACTATATGTCTTTAAGAGCAGAATGAGTCTCTTGTACATATACATCTTTGGGCTGGTCATGTGGTGCATGCCTGCCTTTAATACCAGCTCTGTAGAGGCAGAGGCAGCCAGATCTCTTCGAGTTCAAGTCCAGCTAGGAAAACACAGTAGGGCCCTGTCTCAAAAACAAAAAAATAAAATAAAACAAGATTCCATTCATTCATTGGATTTTTATTGGGGAAATTTAATCCATGTATAATCAAGACAATTATTGTTAGGGTAAGTATTCCCTACTAAAATTTGTTAACTGTTTTCTGGTTCTTTTGTAAATTATTTATTTCTCTTTTTCTTTTGTGGTTAGATGCATTTGGTAGCTTTGAATTCTTTTGGTTTTTTTCTTCTGTTTCTGGTACGCATTTTTGCTTTGTGGTTACCATTTCATGAGAATTGTTCCAAGCTGATAACAGCTTACTGCTAATTGCCTACATCTGTATCCTTTTATCTCACACTCCCACATTGTAGGCTTTGATATCAGAATTTCCTATCATTCTGTAATCTGTAGCCCTTGATAACTTTAGCTGAGTCATTATCAATTTTTCCCCCTCCTTTAGACCTCAGACTAGGGTTGAAATTGCTTTGTACACCCCTTTGTACCCTATAATATTCTGAATGTGGTTCTGAATGAGTCGTAATATTGTCTTGTACTTATGTGAACTTTGAGATAAGAGGCTTTTGTTTGGGCTTAAAGTATTCCTTTATCAATTTCTGTCATTGCCAGGGAAACTTCTGCTGGGAAGTCTTCTGGAGCTGGGCTGGAAGGGAGTCTAGATAGATAAGAACACCCAGGTTCTTGAAGCTTGAAGGTTGGCCCAGGCACAAGGTGACCACTGATGGTTCTGGCATACAGTTGAAGATGGTCATTAAGAAATCTGAGGCTCTGTGAAACTGACACCCTGAGTCCGTGGTGCTGGTTTAAAGCACATCCTTCTAATTGCTACACAATCAATATATTCTTGATGAAAGCAATGCCTTTCCAGGCATTAGTCCTGCTTGAGTCTGGGGACTTTGTAACCACAATGCTGGGCTCCCTATGATACTAGATTGGTCAATCATACTGCCCTAGAGTTCCTGACAGTCCACTGACCAAACTTCCAAATCTAGTTTGGGGGATCTGGTCTGAGGATCCATCCAGGTTTTGAACTCTCTTCAAATTCCAGCATTGATACTTGGTATCGAGGTGAAAATAAACACAGTCTCTAGCACTCTATACACATGCTTGTAAAGTGTGCACTATACAGTGATGGAAGATGCTTAAAAGAATGGCTAGATTTAGCACACCTATATACATTAAGCTGCACTGAATATTAGTTTCCAGTTTTCCCCCTCAAAACTACAGCTGCAAAGAGACTGAATCATTCGCAAGAGCAGGAATCCTCTACCTCGCCTAGTACAAAACCATTGTTTATTTTTTCCTTTTCCACTTTTGTGTGTGGTGTGCACGTGAACATGCATACATTGTTTCTGGACACACTCATGTGGAACAGTGTATGCATACACAGGCTGAAAGTTGATAGCAGAATCACACCCGATTGTTCTTCAGCCTCATTTATTGAGCGAGGGTCTATCAAATCCAGAGCTCGGCAATCTGGCTAGTCTTGCTAGCTACCACACTCTGGGGGTCCGCTGCTTTGCCTTCTGAAGCTAGAATTATGGATGATAAGCTCCCCCAACCTGGCATTTCTGTGGGTTTCTAGGGATCCTAACTCGAGTGTTCATACTTGACTCGGCAAATGCTTTAACTACTGAACAATCCCCAGACCCCAAGACAGTTTTATTTTTTAAAGGTCTATTCCTTTGATGAGAAAACAAAATGACTCATTAATTTAGAGTGAATATATGTGCTATATTTTAATTTTCTTCTATTTTTTCTTTCAGGTTGTTTCTCTAGACCTAAGTTTCTCTAGATCAGGGTGGCCAAGGAATCAGGACAGAGATGCTGGCTTGACGAGTTTGGAAGCGGTTTTAATGGAGATGAAAATGTTTATCAACTAAACACAGGTACCCCCAAAATACAAACCAAAATATCATCTTCAGCTGCATAGCAAATATGATTTAAGAATTTAACATCTTTTGATCACGAGCGTAAATATAAGTTCACCATAAATAAATGTAAATTCATTGTACAAAAATCCCCAACAACTCTTAATACAAATATGGTACACACTTGACAGTTTCTGAAACAGAATTCTTTTTAAAACATTTTAAAATCTAAGCTTTTTTTTTTCTTGACTTTTAAATACATTAAAAAAAAAGTCTAAAAGGTGGAGAAGGGAGGCAAGGACCACTAGAGAGAAAACGTTGAAGTTGTGCGGTGTCCACAGACAAGCGTGGAGGAAATGAAAGAGAGCGCTCTGCCCTCCAAGTGAGGACCTCTGTTTACTGGGATCAAATCTCTTGAGATTGTGGCTCTTCCCAGAGGGTCAACGTTTGGGGTCACGAGTGTGGGGTGGAAAGGAGGAGCAGCCAGAAGGGTAAAACTCCTGAAGGGAACGGGGCAGATCTCTACGGAGCAGTGATGGAGCACTTGGAGTGAACTCTAGAGTATAAAACCTGTTTATCTGAGAGTCGAGTACTATTCTCAGGCAGGACTAGAAATTTGGGAGGTGGAGATATCTATGGTCCTTAAAGGAGAACAAAGATCACACTAGGAAGAGGTGGTGCCAGGCAGGAGGACTGACCAGCTTCCATTTCAGACCACGTCCCTACACTACAAATGATGCTGGCTCTTGCTTAGAAAGACCCCAGAGCCTGGAGTTAGCGGCATTGTCCTGGCTACAGCCAGGGCTCTGAATCTGGGGTGTGCAGCAGAGTAACTGCAGATGTGGATCTTCTGGCCTTGTTCCCAAGAGATTCAGACTTAGACGGCCTGAGGCATGCACAGAAATGAACACTCAAGTGTATGACCCTCAAGGGCTCTGATTTATGTGACCTCACTGTGGAGTACATGGCTGCATCGGTCAAAGTGTTGGTTATACACACCTCCACTGTTCTCTGTGTGATTAAAAACGGTGATGGGTGTCAATCACCTCCCTGGAGGAGGGGCTGGCTAGTCCTCTAACTTCTCTCTTCCTCCCTGGGCTGGTGGAGCACCTATAATCCACTTCCTACATTTTAGGGGCTCAGGACTGTGGCTTCCCTCTGCAGGTGAGAAGACTAGCTCTGTATGGAGCCATGGCCATCTCCCTAGAGATCTCCTACATGGGCAGATTCTACGGGGGCGGGTTAAGTAGTCTGGAAAAATAGAAGTTATTAATACCCCTGTGAGAGAATCTCCGCTCCAGCACTGAACCACTGAACGTGTGCAAAAGGAAGAGACCAGGAAGTTGAGAGCAAAAGAATAAAACGTTCCAAGAATCTTTCAGCAGCAGACATGACGAAAAATCCAGTTTGCGTAAAGAAGGACCTCTTTTGGGGGTGGGGTGTGTCTCGGGATTGAAAGCTTACTGACAAGCTGTCCTTTGCCTCCCTGTCTCCAAGGTGTCTGTTGAAGTCACCCCTAACGTTTTTCCTTCTCGTGGGATTTTCCTGGATGAGGATCTGTTAGGAAGTCACTAAGTGGGTCACCAGCTAGTGGTAAGTGTCGTGCCGTGACCGTCATGTTCATTACCCATGTGGTCCAGTGCTAAGCTTCTGCACGAGGAACAGGGGTATCTCATCTTCCCACCATGGCGACAATGCCTAACAGCTCTCCTTTGGGATCTGAAGTTGGTCTGTGCTGACAGATACTTTTCCACACCATAGGCCTGGCCATTTTCTTCCTCTAGTCCCAACTCGGTGTGATACGGTTTTGAAAGCATCCTTTTTTGCCTCTCTAGGGCTGTTCTACAAGGAGGGGCTAGGGTGGCTCTTAGGGAGAGTGTAAAAGGTTCTGGCCAACATCATCTATTGCCCCGACAGTCAGAAATCTCTTCGTGATTCACCAAGGGTCAAGTCTTGGTGATTGAATCCCTAACATCTAGAGTAGGAAGCAATGTGACCATGGAACTGGAGGGGGAAGCCACACAACACAGTAAGCTGAGGCACACAACTGAGTCAGGCTGATATCTCTGCTATGGTTAGACTCTTCTTGTCTTAGCCCCTAAGACTACAGTGCTGGTCACATATGGATACTGGATAGGGACCTGTGATGGTGGGAAGTGTCCTGGGAAGCGATCACAGATAGGATAGGAACCGTGGGATGGAAACAGTAGCTCTTAGATATAGTTAAGGTAAAAAAAAAAAAAAATAAGAAGAAGAAGAAAAACTCGCACTGCCCTGTGTTTTTGTTGTTTTTCATTTACACTATGGAAAACCCACCATGGAGCTATCATGGGAGAACATGCAGGAGCCCAGATGTGTTGGGGGAGTTGTCTTTTCCTTCCAGGCCGGTTCCACACACTGTCAGCTGGACCTGCTGCAGGCTGACCTCTGTGTTCCCTCTCCTGTTTCTCCTCCTCCTCCAGGTTGAAGGTCTGTCTGCAGGACTTTCAGCCTAGCAGGTGGTGGCCAGTGACTGGTGGATTGGGGGCTGGAAGCAGCGCACATGCTCCACGGTGGAGCTGTCTGTCTCCACAGACTTCATGTACTTGTTCAGGATGGCGAAAACCTCATTGTTCAAGATCTGGTACTTCCTGATGCGGTCAGCCATCTTTTTCAGGGGCTGTAGAAGGATGAGGATGCTTAGGTTAGGATGGGAGCAAAGGGAGAGGTGAAGAGGGGGCTGGACCCACGTTCTTGATGTTTCGATGGTCATATTCTCTCTCTTTCTCTCTCTCTTTAAAGATTTATTTATTTATTATGTATACAGTGCTCTGTCTGTCTGTGTGCTTGCTGGCCAGAAGAGGGCACCAGATCTCATTACAGATGGCTGTGAGCCACCATGTGGTTGCTGGGAATTGAACTCAGGACCTCTGGAAGAGCAGTCAGTGCCCTTAACCTCTGAGCCATCTCTCCAGCCCATATTCTCTCTTTTTAACGAGAAAAACATATTTCTCTATGGTTCCCAAATAAAATGCTGAAGGTTACCAATAACCTTTGCAAGCTTCAAAGCTTACAATAAATTTCCATAATCAAGACAGTGCAGAACCATCATGTAGACCAAGGAAATAGAAACAAACTCTTATGTGTTGGGTCAATCAACTCTGAATAGGATGACAAGACCATCTGAAGTACGGGTGTGCCAGGGACAACCTTTGCAACAAATGCTGGGAAAATCTAATTCCGACATGCAGAAGAATGCCGAGCCTTATTTTATAGACTATACAAGAATAAGTTGGAAATGGATAAAAGGCTTCAGTATGAGTCAAGCTATGACGTTCTTGGAGGAAAGCACAGGAATAACTCCTCATGATGCTGGGTCTGGCAGCCAGCGCAGAGTGAAATGGAGACTTCGGGGCATTAAAGGATATCATCAATGGAATGAGGGGATTTGTAACACAGGTAAGAAGCTGATGTTCTGAATACATAAACTGCTGTGATCCTGGGCCAGTAAGATGGCTCAGTGCATAAAAGCACCTGTTGCCAAGTCTGAGGACCTTGGTTTGATTCCTAGACCCTACATGTTGGGAGGAGAGAACTGACCCCAGTAAGCTGGCCTCAGACCCCCACACATGGTGTGGTGGAAGGTATGTTCCTCCAAACACACATGGATGTTTATAAAGGAAGGAAAAATGCGAGAAAAGGTAAGTTGAAACTAAAAATTGGAGAAAAGACTTAAGACATTTCTCCACAGCAGATATGCAAAGGCCCAATAATACATGAAACTTGGGATTCTTGAGTGTTATTGTATGACTATAAAAATGTATCCATTAGGGAAAACAGTATGGTCGTTCCTCAAGAAATTAAAGAGAATTACTAGATAGCCCGGCACTTAGACTTCATGAGTGTATATTCCAAAGAAGTGAAGGGAGAGACTCAGGTGGATGCCTGAGTTCACACTTCGTTATTCCCAGTCCCTAAAGGTGAACGCAACACAAGGGTCCACCAGCGGGTTGTGTTTTGTGTAAGATAAAATACTAGTTAACCATAATACATGGGATTCTGACGCACTGTAACATGGAGCAGTCTCACAAAATAAGCAGATCAAAGAGGACAGATACAGTGTCACTCAGTCCATACAGTCATAGACACAGAAGGAAAAGTGGTTGCCAGGGACGGGGGAGTGATTTAAATGGACACAGAGCTTCAACAGGAGAAACACCTGGGGCATGATGAAGTGAGGTGCAAGACACTGTGCGGCTGTTTAAAGTAACACTGAACTGGGTACTTGGAAATGGTTTGTTACGATGACCGCCACTCTTAAAAACTGTGTGTGTGTGTGTGTGTATGAGAGAGAGAGAGAGAGAGGCGGCTCCTACTTCCTTTCCTCACCTGGCCCCTGGCCATATCCTTTGTTCTACACACGTGTCTTCATGGCTCGGTGCTGTGTGGTAGTTGCTCCTCAAGTCTGGAATCTGTCCAGCCCACCTGTCCCGTGCGCTGCCGGCAATCCTACCCCTGGCCCAAGCCCCAGCTCCTGGGAAGACTCTGACCTTGTCTCCATCACGACTGTCTACTTTAAGGGCTCTGTTTTCTCACAGCACCCATCCTCTCCCAGTGCCTGGCGTGACCCAAGTGTCCAGACCCTGTGGACCAGCAGGGTCTGCCTGGGACAAGGGAGGGACACTGGAGACCAGAAGTTCAGACTTGCCTTCAGGGGGACCCACTCTATCACAGCATGTTACAGGCAGGCCCTTTCCAAGTAGGCCCCCAACTTCTGAGCATCTGTCCATAGCCATCACCCTCCATAAGCACTTTTCCCGTTTCAGTCCTGAAGACAGCCTGCTGCCAGGCCCGGCGTCCCAGGCCAGCCACATCTGCTTACCACGTTCTTAATGATTTCATCCTTGCCGTCCTGCCGCTGCACCTTCAGCAGATGGTAGCAGAAGTCAAACAGGTCAAAGCGCCGCTGCTGACCCAGCAAGACGATGATGGAGCAGCCTGCCCAATTCAAGCCGTCACCGAAGCACTGCCTGGAGGTAGGGAAAAGAGGAGAAGCAGAGAAGAAAGGCTGTCTCCAAAGCCGGGGGGTGGGGGTGGGGGTGGGGGGTACAGCTGTCGAGTGGGCCTGCCCTCGGGATAAGACCTTTCCTGTGTGGTTTCGGTTGTTTCCCGGGACTCTGGTTACACAATGAGCAGAGGGGTGTGGAGCCCAAGGAAATAACAGTCAGCTTGGAGGAAAAGGTGACTTCACAAAGAACACAGCCAGATGAATGTGTGTGTGTGTGTGTGCGCGCGCGTACACACACACCTTACTTTCTCAAACAGTCTCTCCCTAAATGTGGCTTTGCCAATGCAGTGGGAAACTAGCTGGGGGATGGAGCCTCCAGGCATCCCCCTGCCTCAGCCTCTGTAATGTCAGGATTACAGGTGCACAGCACCTCATTTGGCTTTGTGTATTTTTAATCATGTGTCTGTGCATGGATGTGCACACACGAGCGCAGGTTCCCACAGGAGGCAGAGGCCAGAGGCAATGAATGGGTCCTCCTAGGGCTGGACTTGCCGGTAAGTGTGAACCGTCTAACATCTAACATAGGTGCTGGGATCTGAACTCTTGACCTCTGCCAAAAGCAATACAGTGCTCTTAACCACCGAACCATTTCTCCAGCTCCTCCTCTGGCTTTTAAACATGGCTTCTGGAGAGCAGAACTCGGGTCCTTAAAGCTTGCCCTGAGCCATTTCCTCAACTCTAACCAGCCTCTGAGACCCACATGGTGGGCTATAAGGGATCAGGTACTACTCATACAGGAGGCCAGGAGTATCTCTGGGGCTCTCTTAAAGCCCCCCTGTGGGCCTCAGCTCCTAAGAAACACGTGGATGACCGTAGGGTGGCCCTTACGTCATTTTCTTTGTTCAGAAGTTAGTAGCCCAGGCTGCCCTGGGGCAGTCCCCTGCTTCTCTGTCACAGGCTTGGGAGGACATAACCCCATGGCTTGCTGGTCTTTCTCTTCCCATTCTAGTGCTACTTCCTCGGGGAACCCTGATCAGTTCCTCCCCACCCCGTTCTTAACTGTTACTGGATCCAAAGGGACCGGCTGGTCACCTCTGCCACACTGCTCATAGCATGAAGCTAGATGGGTGCAGAAATAAGGGGGCTCTGCTCCTGTTTTCTCTGACGGGACTGGGGAATCCAAAGGCTCCTCTTTTCCTGAGAGTGGGGTGAGGTGGATGGTGAGGTTCCCAAGGGTGACATTCAGTTTCCTGAACTTCCCAGTCCCTTTCACAGACCCCATCCCAGATATGGCTACAGGATCAGTTCTAGTCTGTGAATTCAGATCTGACACCTCACCCAGCTCCATTCTTTGGTGTCTGCATCCTGCTCCATATGACACCTTGGCCTCTGAGCTTCCACATTGTTTGGCCCGTTCAACCTCTGGAGACCAAGAACAGTCCGCTTTTGCCATGTCTAGCACTGGCACAATGACCAGTATGGTTAGTATTTCTGTTCATGCCCCTTCAGTCCCCGTTCTCCTTTCTGGCCAGCCCTAGGCATCCCCAGAGATGACAGAACTGGAGGACAGGTAGCTGGGGGATGCACTCACTCAGCTGTGAACTCGTTGGTCCCCACAGGGATGCAGTAGACAAACTGCATGGCGCTCCACAGCCGGTGGAATTCGACACATTCGTCCACATGCATGACGCCATTGGTGGGTGGCGGGCCCCTCCAGATGGGATCCTGCAGGTAGCTCCGAATTCGGGTCAGGATGACTTCGAACATGGACAGGCCGCAGCAGAGCCGCTCCTTGGTCAGCAGGTCACCTTCCCGAGCGATGGCGATTTGCTGGGATGGGAAGGATATTTAAACATTACAACCACATCTGAGATCCCATCTGCCCCACCTCCATTAGCGAGTCCTAAAGTAGAGAGTGTCTGTGCTAGTCACATCTAGAACATGGTACCCTGCCCAGAGCAGGGCACGGTGGGTAAGAACTAGAGGGCGTGGATGCCTTATGGCTTCAAAGGCTTGTTGGGGCTGGGGAGATGGTTCAGTGCAAGTACAAGGACCCAAATTCTGTCTTCCAGAAAACAGAATAAGAAGTCAGGAATGGTGCATGTGCCTGTAATCAAGGCACTGGAGAGGCTAAGATGGCTAACTGGGTACATAAAGTCAGAAGTCCTATTTATAACGTAACACTGCTAGAGTATGTGTTTACAATGTAACAGTACTAGAGTGTGGTGTCTTTACAATGTAACATTACTAGAGTGTGTGGCTCCTGATGAGCAGTGGCTCTGTTCAATTCTGTGGGTCTGTTATTATTTCTCTTTCACCGATGAGGAAAGCTGAGGCTTAAAGGTATAGCCAAGGAAAGGTACAAAGCTTGGATTTTGCTCAACATAGCTTAGATCAGCAAGTTAATTTATGAAGTGAATTTGGCAAGTTGGAGAAAATGACATTTACTACAATCCTATCGAACACCAGCACAACTCTACGGATGAACAGAACTTGGGTGGGGTATGTGTGCACGCATAGAAAACATTTCAGGAGTCAAGTTAGTTGTGGGTGCAGATGGGCTGAGGGAAACGGGTGAGCTTCTCACATTTAAAATAGTTTTGTACAGTGGAATGTGCTAGAAGGAGCGTATGCTACTGCTTTAAATTTGCCACTGACTTTAGAGTGATTTTTTTCTAGTTAGAAACCCTCTTCAACGATGGCAAATGGTCTCTATTAGTAACTCAAACAGGCTTCTCATCTGGTCCTGGCTACTGCATATCGAATCCTTGGACAGGCACACAGACACATCAAACACACGTCCGCCTTGCCCAACTCTCTGTGCTGTGAGTGAAAACATCTAAGCGCAAAGGTGCTGAAAGCAAAGCACATATTAAAAATCTAAGGTTAAACTCGGGTCTTCTCGTCTGGGAACAAAGCTAAAGAAAGCTAGCTTCTAAAACAGCCACATTCGCAGGACAGACATGGGATCAGCTCCTGGTGGGAGGAAGGATTGTGGGGGAGGGCATTCTGTGGGGGGAGGATTGGAGTACCACCTGGCCTCTCCCTCAATGTTCTCTTTCTTGGAGATCTCCCCCCCACCAAAAAAAAAAAAAAAAAAGAGGGCAGCCTCTAAGTAAACCCTGGTAAGAAAATAAATCGGGAAGGATAGCCAGTGATGAATGTGGGCCATGAGTGCTGTCATGACAACTACAAAGCGAAAGGCCTTGGAAAGAAAATGAGTTCGAGAAGAGTTGGTGTATATGTGTTTGAAACACAAAGTGGGGAGGTCACCCCAATTCATGGCAAGTCAACTTGATTCCACAGGCAGACCCAGGAGATCGCTCATGCTGCCACAGGTAGCTAGAAAAAGCACTCTAAGATATCATAAACCTGGTGCTTGATTCTGTTCTCTTGTGTTTACCGTTCTGCTCAGCTCTCTACATGCGAGGAACAACTGATACCCTGGAGATGCTCAGGAAACAAAGGACCCATGTATGTTCTCATCAGCAAATTGAGAGACTTCTGCTATTCTAATTAATCTGTTGTCTGTTTGATTATTCAGGCAGTGACTGAGAATCCTAGCTTGGGGGTGGGTGAGTAGAAACATTGGCCAATGGCATTGTAAAACCTGCGGTTTGACTTCCAGCTCTCCATCCACCATGGCCAATGAAAGAGGCCTTTCCCCTTTCTCTGAAGTTTTCACCTTTCCCTTTCTTTCTGTGAACCATAAAAGTCATATGCATTCACTGGGTAAAATTTGGAGGAAAAATTTAAATAACATGTAAGAAAGATAAAATTCTACTTATCCCATTACCCAGCAAAAATACAGATATATGAATATTGTTTGCAATTATGAATATGTATACATGCATGTATAGACCAGATCATCTCTATCATATTTTCATCTAGCACATCTCTAATTTAAAAACTCATTTCCATAATACATTCAGTGCCATGGATTTTAGAGGACTATCTAAAAACAGTCTCTGATAAATGGATTCAGTCCTCCACCCTTGCTGGTTATTTTCAGTTGTTCACAAATCTTCAGGGTTGGGGGCCATCCTAAAGCAATTGCCCATATACATAATGTTCTATGGGCACTGTCACCTGTCATGCTGCTGGATGACAAGTCCTAGAATTAGAGGAGGTCAGGGCATGCAATTACTTTAACAAGGCCTTTGCTATGTGGTAGTGAGTCTCAAGAAAGTTGCCCCGATAACGTTCCAGGTGAAACGCATGCCTGTACTCCCACCGGACTAGCCAATGTGCTCTAAAGAGAAAGGCCATTAGCAAATGGCGAGATGAAATCTACCCTGACCTTGCAGGTTCTTCAAACTGCTGGAGATGTTGAACTTTTTCTGTTTGGTGGCATTTTTTTTATATGAGTTTTTGCTTTTGCCTTTTTTTTTTTTTGGTATATCATTTTGTGTGTGCATGAATGCATATGTGTGTGTGCGTGTGGAAGTCAGAGGTCAACTTTGGGTACATTTTTGTTGTTGTTAATTTTTTCTCAAGACAGGGTTTCTCTGTGTAGCCCTGGCTGTCCTGGAATTTACTCTCTTGACCAGGCTGGCCTCAAACTCAGTGATCCACCTGCCTCTGCCACCCAAGTGCTGAGATTAAAGGTATGTGCCACCACTGCCTGGCTGTAGTTTTGGGTATCTTTATCTGATTTATTTGCTTATTTTTCGAGATAGGATCTGTCACTGAACCAGAAGCTCACTGTATTGGCTAAACTGTCTGCCAGTAAAGCCCCTGAACTGCCTGTCCCCTCCTCTATTGCTGGGGTGATAGGTGTGTCACCACCTGTGGCTTTTATGTGGCTACTGGGAATCTGAATACAGGTCTTCATGTTTGCCTGGAGAGCACTTCGCCCAGTAAATGACCAGTCTACCCTCATTTTCTTTTTACATTAAAAAAAAAAAAGCCCACCCAGTGTTTGATGCAAACGTGGCCAGTCTGTGGCTTGTTCTCTTGTGTGGAGAATGGTGCCTAATTAGCTCTTACATGAAACACCGGATCACATGCATAACTTCTCAGTATTCTTTCCTTTGGCCCTTTGCATCTTTGGAATTCTGATTTATTATTTAACAGTAAAGAAATGCTAACTTTCCTGCATGTATCAATGTGGTCAGGCTTTCCTGCTGTTTCCTCTGTAACACTCCAAAGACTGAACCCTGAAAGTGCAGGAGAACTCAGAGAACAGGTATGCACAGCTACAGACCAAGTGGAATATCAGCAAAGGCACCTTCCTCCCCTGTGAGTGCCTCGACCCTTTGCCAACATGGAAATTATCTTCCCAGCTGCCAGTGGCATAACACAGTCTAAAAGACACTAATTTTAAAATGCAGGCCAGCTAAGGAGGTGAAACAGCTACCATCCTGTTTCATAGATGGGAAAATTAAGATGGGGAAATTAAATGTTTCGTGTGAGATTATGTGACAGTCCAGGGTAGAGCTAGGACAATGGTGCTGGCTGAAAACCAGGTCACCTCAGCTTGTTCAGAAAAAATGCAGACGCCACACTGCTCAGACCTCCCTGGTTTAAATCTGCCACAACCGTTTCCTGTCACTGACCCAGATACGACACAAGATCCTAGTGGAGAGAAGACCTAGTGGCCAGCTTCAGTTTTCACAACTTGTTAGCGCTTACTTTGGTCTATGGGTTGATGAAGTTGTATTTAGTATTATGTATGTATACATTTAGTGTGTGTGCACATGTGTGGTTGGAACATGTATAGAGCCCAGAAGACAACTTGCATGAATCATTCATTTCTTCCCTCATATGGGTCCTGGGATAAAACTCAGCCTGGCAAGCTTGGTAGCAAGCGCCTTTATCCACTGAGCATCTCACTGCCCCCAAGTTTTCCTTTTCAATTTAGTCTTCTTTCCCACATATTATCTACACACATGTACCTAGATCCTACCCTACAACCTTTCCTCCACCCTCCTTTCCCAGTCCCTACTAACCCCCGAGTCTACATTCAGGTTGATCTGACTGTAGACTAGAATATCCCTTGAGAAGGAGGCAACTTATCAAACTGCCACGGCCTCTCTCACCAGCTCTTGTTTGCTAAATACTCAACACTGGATAAACTGGATTTCTGTCAGTCCCAAGGAAAAGGTGTTCACAGAATGGCAAAGGAATGCACAGCCATGAGTGGAAACACATGCCAAGCCCCCCGGGCTCACGAAGCTGGATTCCTGCAGGATGACACCCTGCAAGGAGCAGGCACGCCGGCAGGCCACTGGCTTGGGGGATTTCTCCCTAAAAGGAAATCATCTTAGAGAATTTCCTCTGTTCAACTTCTGCTGCCAAAAAAGTGGGAAGACTCTCTCCAGTGTCCGAATTCTCTGCTGTGAGCCAAAGACCCAAAACTCCTCCTAGAGTTAGTCACTGTTTCTGGTGGGAGCCTGATATGGGTGGCTTCTCAGTTGACACCTGTGCAGATTGGGCTTGGCATTGGGAGAGTAGCTACCTCTGGTCCTCTGCCGAGAGTGTGGGTTCTTCTGACCACTTTGATATCCCAGCAGGGAACGTGAGTCTAAGGGTGACTTTAAATCCTGAACTGCTATGGTAGTCAGTGTGGCCAGCAACACAAAGCAGCTGGGCCATCCCTACGATGTCCTGTGCCACCTCACCCCCTGCTTACCTCCCAATGGGAGGCTCACTGAAATCCACTTGAGACAGGAATAGACATTTTTGTGCCTCTTCTATTTCTCATCTGTTCTGCCTCTGTACAGAATCTAAGAGCTCCGAAGGCAGGAATCTTCCTTTACCCAATTCAGTAAATTGGCACCATTTTTCAAAAGTTAATTTTTACAGATTCAACATGAGCCCTTGCAGCTCTGACAATATTAGAACATTATAGATAAAACTCAAATTGTCTTTGATTCTTCATCTTCCCACCTAGTTCCTATCTCCATCTTTCTTCAGAATTTCCAGGGGTGAACTGGTGTGCTGGAAGGGTTTCTGTCAACATAAGCTGAAGCCATCAGAGAGGCGGGAACCTCAGTTGAGAAAATGCCTCTCTAAGGGCATTTTCTTAGTGTCGGATGGGGGAGGGCCCAGTCCATTGTGGGTGGGGCCATCCCTGGGCTGGTGGTCCTGAGTTCGTAAGAAAGCAGGCTGAGCAAGTCATGGGTAGTAAGCCAGTAAGCAGCATCAGCTCCTGCCTCCAGGTTCCTGCCCTGACTTCCTTTAATGATGAACAATGATGTGGAATTGTAAGCCAGATAAACCTTTCCTCCCCAACTTGCTTTTGGTCAGGATGTTTTGTTGCAGCAATAGAAACCATAACTACAAAAATTGGGTTTGGAACATTCCAGGAGTTTTCAGGGGGATATTTCACTTACATGTTCTTGGTATGTGCAGGTTTTAAAAAACCCTATGTGAAATGTAACTTGAATTTAAGATCTAGTCACACTGACTGATGCTTAGATTTAATTTTTCCTTTCCATTATTATGCATTTAATAATGCTGCATCCTCAAGTCCAGAGTGCTCACATAAAATGGCACATTCTACTAAGCTAACGCCTGAGCCAACAAACCACAACTTCTCGTGATTTTTAGTTTCTCGAGAAAAATACCTAGATGGAAAGTGTGGACTTTTAATTTTGATACACAGTGCTGCAGAATTCTTGGAACCTGGCAGGGTTGTGATGAGTATTGTTTTAAGTATTCTTTCTTCTTTCTTAGCACAACTCATGACCCTGGGAGAAGAAAGAACTCAAGCCCTAGAGGAAACAAACCTCATTCTAGCCTGCTCCAGTTTATGGTCTTGGGCATGCTCATCCCTTCTCTGTGCCTTAGATTCCCTATCTGTAAAATGGGGAGGTTGAGCCCCAAATGTTCCACTCTTAAAGTCCTTTAGGCCCGTGATTCACAGTTTGTACCTGAGGAGTTCCCAGCCGTTCTATCAGGGGGACCAGGTGAAGTGGGGCGTACTTGGCTTCCAGGCGCTTCATCCGGACTTCCAGGCGCTCTCCCTCTACAGAACGGGCAAAGGAACAGAAAAGGATTCTGTGACCAGGGCAGGATGACTTCTCAGAGGACCTGATGCTGTCACTGTGTCCCCAAACTAGGATGGAGTGTGAAGCCCTTCCTCCTTGGTTCTGGAGACTGTGATGGGAAGAGATTATCCCCCTGTGGTTTTGGACCAGTAACAGAAGCATCTGTCTCGTGACCCAGTGAGCTCCCTGTCACTCAAGGAGTTTGAACCGAGGCTAGACTAGAGTGACAGAGTAAGTCTAGCTTCAAAGGAGCAATGCCTGCAGTGCCATCTCTAATCCCTTAATGATTCCACAGGCATCCAAAACATTAAACTCCTTCCTGGATGACTGCAGTCTGAGCTGACTGGGATTAGGATGTGCGCACAGACAGGGCTGGGGAAGTGTGAGGACCTGAGTTCAAGTCTCCAGAACCATATAAAAGCTAGACAAAGAGGCACGCACCTGCAATCCCAGCACTCCCACAGCAAAGACGGGAGGTAGAGGTAGATTTCCTAGACACCCACAGGCCAGCTAGCCTGGCACACACAGTGAGACCCTGTTGCAAATGAACTGGAAGGTAAAGACGACACCTGAGGTTGTCCTGGCTTCCATGTGCATCCTATCACACACGTGTGTCCATACTTACACCGTACTGTATGTTCTTAAGTGAGTGTTAATTCGAATGCAAGAGGGCTGTCTCTGCTGGTGGTGGTTTTTTTTTTTAAATTAATTTATTTATTATGTATACAATATTCTTGTCTGTGTGTATGCCTGCAGACCAGAAGAGGGCGCCAGACCTCATAACAGATGGTTGTGGGCTACCATGTAGTTGCTGGGAATTGAACTCAGGACCTTTGGAAGAGCAGGCAATGCTCTTAACCACTGAGCCATTTCTCCAGCCCTGTGGTGGTGGTTTCTTACCTTTGATATAGACTCTGGGCAGGATGTTCTGGAAGGGTGCAGCATGAAGCAGATCACAGACTTCCTCCTGAGACTGCAGAGATAGAGGGGGAGAGGAAGAGAACAGTTTTCACTTAAATTAGAAGGATTTCATTCGTGAAATCTTGACCCTGGTTCTGCTGGCTCTCGTGCTCCAGCTCTGGGTGTTTCCTTTATTGGCAGTGTGACCCTGGTAACTTATTGGCTTATCATGGTCTATTTATCTTCAGAGTGCGGATGAGATCAGAATGTGGTTCAATGGGCTGTTGTGAGCACCGAGAGGACTCATAAGCTATGGCCCAGTCCCAATTCATGAAAAGAGAGCTCTACACATCTCTATCGTCATCTTAGAAGGACTTTGCTGAAGAGTTAGGGTGAATGAATGATAGAGGGACCAGATAAAGCTGAGGGCTACCAGGCTCCATCTGGTTGGTGATGAGCTGTATAGGATTAAAGAAGATAGCAAGGGCACAGTAGGGTGTGGGGTGGGGAAGACGCCCAGGTGGTAAAGCACATGAGTTTGATTCCAGCACACACGTAAAAAGCCAAGTGTAGTAGTTTGTACATAGAATCCCAGCACCGGTGAGGCAGAGACAGGCAGATCCCTGGGACTCGCTGGCCAGCGAGTCAATCCCACTGAGTAAGCTAACTTATCCCCCAAGTAAGGTGGACTGCTCTTGAGAGTGACATCTGAGGTTGACAACCAGCATGCACGTGTGTGCATACACACATGACATACCAGGGCCAATTCTGCCATCTGTTAATCCAGAATGCCTCTGGAAGAAGGTCTGTGTCTGGATTAGTTTTGGTCACCTTAGCCAGCCACCAATGAGAGATGAGAAGCTAGAACCTCAGTCAGACAGGTTTTGGTGGGAACGCCTAACACATAAAAGCACATTTACAAATAAAAGGAAGCCTGTGCCACAGTGTTGGAAGGGTAAAGTTGGTCAGGACTGATGGGAAGGCATGACCAACAGACTGAATGACAGGCCTCTGACTGCTGACTTCAGAATAATGCAGGGAGAGCCGCTACAGAGGGACCTCTCTGCTGTGTGTCTGCTCTTCTTTTGATTGTGGGCACCACATGAAATGAGATCCAGGATGAATTCAAGCTTAACTCTTAAGAGGCAGAAGAATCAGGAAACTCAAGACTAATAGGTGCTCTTGAGCTTCTGATGGGGAAGCTGCTCATTCATTCCTGGCCGCTTAGACCCAAAATAATCACTGAGAAACTGTATTATTTGCAATACTGTTTGGCCAATAGTGTAAGCATATTTCTAGCTTGCTCTTATATCCTAAACTAACTCATCTCCATTCATCTGTGTATCGCCACATGGCTGTGGCTTACCGGGTAAAGTTCCGTCTGACATCTGTATCTGGTGGGGCTACATGGCTTCTCAGTGACTCCGCCTACTCTCTGTATATATCTTTTCCAGCCTGGCTATATTCTGTTAAGCCATTGGCCAAAAGCAGCTTCTTTATTTATTAATCAATAAAAGCAATACATATACAGTAGGGAATCCCACATCACCTCCCCTTTTCTGTCTAAATGAAAAGAAACGTTTAACTTTAACACAGATTAATGGAGATGGGTTAGTTTAGGATATAAGGGCTAGCTAAAAATCTGCTTAAGCTATTGGCCAAACAGTATTACAAATAATATAGTTTCTGTGTGTCTATTTCAGGACTGAAAAGCCAGGAACGAACAAGTGGCCTCTGCCAACAGGCTTCTGCCACCCCTGGGATGGATGGAGCTCTCCCATCCTGGGTATCTGAAGAGCAGCAGTGAGAGGGGACCCTGGAATACCTTCCTGAAAACTGTATCAGTTCACATCCATTCCATGTCCCTCTTCAGTATCCCTGCAGGTGATGCTTGTGACTAGTCCTTGAATATTGGTTTTCTCTCTGTTCACTAGTTTACCTCACCTTCTCCCATCATGTGCTAATACTAGGTCCCTACAGTTTACTAAACCTGTGCTTCCATCCAGACTTGGCTACTCGACCCTGGCTGGAGTCCTCACTTGGCTGCTGCCCTGTTTGCACCTCCAAGGTTAACCATCTTCCCTCGTCCTCTGCCTGGCTTCCTCCTGGAATGACGCATGGGCCTGTCTCCCTTCATGTCTTCCTCTCGAGTGTAGCTGACCTGTGTTCTGTGGACCCATGTCTCTTTACTCTTTCCTCGGTGGCTACTATAATACTATTACTCCTTCAGGGCCATGATGGAGTGCCTCTGTTTGTATCTTAGCCCCAGTGATGGCTTACGATTAAATGCTTTTATAAGATACTTTATCAGCAATCACTTCAGTGGGGTAAATGTATGCTACTGCACATGAATAAACGAAGTCATGTGTCCACCTGATAGTAATCCAAGCATGAGAAGACTGCTGTCCATCCGCCCATTCACCCAACAGATATGTATTAAACACCAGGCACAGTTCTAGGCTATGCAGATATGATGTTGAACAAGTTAGACAAGATCTCTGTTCTCATGCTATTTAAATTCCTGCAGAGGCTTACGAACACAAAGAAAATTCCAGATAGTGATCGCCCATGGGAGGAACAGAGAAGGAGGCAAGAGTTAATTTGGGTCACTAGGCATGGGGGAAGCTAGCCACATAGGTTTAGGTAAGAGTATTCCAGTGCAGAGGCTGTGGGCAGTGAACACGCTGGAATGAGTCACAAAGATTCATGGTACACACTGCATGAGGTCCTAAAGGAGGGGGGGAATGACATCATGTGGGACCTTAATGGCATGGTTTAAGTGCAGATTTCACTCTAAGTGTAGAGAGTAGCTATTTAAGTTATTGCAGGGACACATCACATAGTCTTGTCTTTCTTACAAAAAGTTCCCTGGCCCTTCGGCATGCCTCGTTGCCAGAAAGTGGCCCACTGCCTGAACCATCAAGTTCTCTGTTCATGTGGATAAACTAATCTCGGGAGCCACCTGAGAGCTCAGAGGACAGGAAGGCTCTAATAAAGGAGCAACGCAGAAGCTCAGTTCATTTTACACGGTGAACTTTGACTCTTTGGGGGAGATGAAGGCATTGCCTTTTCCCTCTCCCCCAAGTTTGCAGACTAGAGGACAAGGGACTCTTGGATGTGGGTGTCCTTCTTGCATGTCTTCTCTGCAGTGCTGTGCAGGCTAGGAAGGTGAGAAAGTAAGTGGGCAGGAGACAGCCTTCTGGGAGAGGCAGGAACATCCCAGAGGAACCAAATAGCCATTTGCATAACGAGGTGGCTGCACACCTTGTGTGGGAGGTACTTGTTTGCTGGTCATTAGCTGAGGTCATTGCCACAGATAGAAACAGGCATTGGGCACAGACAAAGGCCTGTGTGACGGGCAAAACAAGCTTCCATTGTGGAGCCTGGGCTGACGGCTGGTTTCCCGTTCCTCTGATTAGGATCTCAAAGCATCTAAGAGGAGCCCACCAGGCCTCTCCCCACTGGACAGAGTCCTTTCTCAACCTGTGAAGCCCGCCCTGCAGTGGGCCTGGCTCCGCAGCCCTACCTGTCCATCAGAGACGCTCTGCTCTCTTCTCCAGCGTGATCCTGAACCCCCTCTCTCCTCTGACTCCTCTGCTTAGCGAATGCCCTGCCTTCAGCTTTCAGTTCCACCCCCGCCCCCTGAAGGACACTTCTGTGAGCTCCCAACCCTCACCCCTACCATGCATGTGCCATTGTTAAACCTCCTCTAAGAACCACTTTCCCCTGAGCTGTCTGTATTTTATCTTCCACGTGACTGATGCATACCTACCTCTCACTGGAACCCAACTTCCATAAAGTAGAGACAACCTCCCTTCATATATTTTAGTGTATTTTCCACTATGCCTCCAAAGATGAGCATGGTGCTGGGTATATAGTAAATGATCAATCACACAGAATAAAAGCTGAAGGTTCAGGGCCTGGCGGTATAGCTTAGATAACAGAGGGCTTGTCTAGCATCCTAGTGCTTGGGGGGATTATGGGTTTGAGGTCGTCCTTGGCTACATGGCTAGTATGAGGCCGATCTGGACTATAGGAGACCCCATCTTAAAGAACTTTTTTAAAAGAAGCTGGAGATACAGGCATGTGAGGGATGGGAGACATATTAGAATCTCCCTGAGTCTGGGTCTTTCTATGTAGGCCTGGAAGTTTCTCTTTATTAATGACGGAAATAAATTCTTAATTATAAGTTATGGAAATAAATTCTCTTTGATCTGAACTATGAAATATTTTTAACAAATGCTTCATATGGTGGAGTTTCCAGGTATTTTACATTTTTTCCCTACTCGCCTTCCTTTTTTAAAAAACCTATATGTATAATCACTACATTTTCTACATCAACTATATAGTACTCTGAAAATGACATTGAAAAAAACCTCTGAAGCAGCTAATAGGTAATTTTAAAATCAACAGCCTCTGGCATCCTGCTCCTGAGAAGATGGCGGGTCCTAGGCTTGGTATGGAAAGACGTTTGAGTAGGTGTAGGGCGAGTAGCTGATTTTGTTTCAGAATACACTTGGGGCAAATCACTGATGCAGAACAAAATATAAATGAAAAAAGGACCACACTGCTGTGGTAACACAAGCGCGCAGCTGTCAGAAGCAAGAGGCAGTGACTCTGGGGACTGTCACCTTCCTCAGCCTCAGAGGATCCTTGGAATAGCTGTCATCCAAATCCCGCTTCCGGAAGAAGCTGCGGAGGTTGGCACATTCACCACGATCGCAGGGAAGAGTGGGAGGGGAAGTCAGGAATGACGGCAGTGAGCTAGAACTTCATCTTTCTAACCAGACAGTCCCTAAATAGCACATTAAGTCGCTGTTAGGACAGGCCATCTCCCATTAAGTGTTATGGAGAGGACAGCCGAGGTGGACATGGCCGTGATTTAGGCAGGCCATGTCGGGGACTGAGCATGAGGTTGGGAGAGGCGCTCGTCGTCATATATTTGTATTGCTTGATTTATCACCACATGAAATGAAGAGCTATTTAAACAAGACGTAGGTGGTGGAGTCAACAGTCCCCTGAGGATATTTGGCTAGAACAGTGAGCCTACAACAGTAAGATCGCCTTGCTCTT